CATTTGTGTATTTAATTTTTCGGTGGTTCAGTAGTATTCGCGGGGGGGGGTTGCTTAGGGAATTTCGCGTCCTGTCTTTGTTTGTACTACTGCTGAAAAGAAAGTGGGTAACTTTTGAATGGTCGCCGATTGACACAACTGCCTAGTCGATGACTGGTGATGTTAGTAAATTTAAGAAGCGTTTTGTTCGCTAAAGTCTCTATGTGTCGAATCCTCCTAGTACCTTTCCAAGTCGTTGAGAAATTGCCTGTTACTGTGGTTTCTTCCTGTTTCGCTGTTTTATTTCTGCGGTAGTAGAACTTATTTTTGCAGCACGACTAGATATTCATCTGATCTTCTCCTCGCGAACCTCGACTTGGTTAAATAGTGGAATGGTTAGCATTTTCATAGGTTTGATGGTATCGAAGCTGGTGCAGATGATCCGTGTGACCGATTTTGCTGTTGGTTTACGACCCGTCTACTTGGTTCGCAGTCGTCGATCTAAGTGGAATAGGAGTAGCAATTTTTTGCCGTAGGGGAAGAGAGCAAAATGCGTCGATGTACCCCCTACCCGCTATGATTAGTATAATCTGGAGAACAGTAACATCCTCACGACTATTTGGAACTCCAAAAGACAATCACAGCAGCCCACCGACGGTCACTAGCCAACGACATCGAACTCAACATTTCAAAGCGCAACTTTATTTCCTTGCTGAACAAGACTCGTTTCTCCCATGTTCTGGGGAAACAAATACTACATGCCGCTGATGGATAAATTTGGGGGTTATGGCACAGACGGGCGTTGGACGCATTGTTTGCCAAAGCATTATCCTTAAGTAGTTAGTTAGATTGCGTGAACGTGTATTCGGTTGATCGAAATAGCACTGTTCCCAAACCTCCCATCAGCGTTCATTCGGCCACACGGAATACGCCGTGCAAGTATGGAGTCCATGGTTGAACAGCGAGAAGGCTCTAAAACGTCCGCAAAGGTTAAAAACGAAAATTGTTTAGATGGCCTGCAAAACAAAATATACGCTGAAAGATTACAACGATTGGGGGTTTACTGTTTTCAGTGCTGTCGACTTCGAGTGGACCCAATCTTGACATATAGCATACTGCATCAAACCAACCACCCATGCCGTTATATGTTGACTTGGTCTGAGAACAGAGCCACCTTAATTGCCAGCATCGCTCGTTTGCTTTCAGGGTGTGCGGTGTGCATAGAGTTCCATTCCATGTTACGTGTGCTCCTACAGATGAAATAATTCGAATTGCAGCTTGATAAAGCATTGTAACACTTGATATTTCAACATCTGTGTGAGCGGGAATAACAACCGGTCACGAAACTGGAATGTTGAGTACTGCTCTGCCCAATTTTTCATGGTTTCTCCCTGCTGCTAAACATTTTTGGCACAGATTGTGATGTATCAGCCTGTTTTGTTTCCTACAACGTGTAATGATGGTTTATTCGGACAAAAACTAACGTGTTTGGAATAGATCGCGTTTCTTGATGCATCATGTGAACAGGACAGAAGCAAGCAACTGTGTCATTGGGGCACAACACACACGCAGTAAACAAAACTGACGGAAAGTAGTTTTGGCCTAGTTCTCGGTAGGAAGCAAATGCCTTTTTGAAAAATCTATCGGAAGCGGATGCCAGTGAGAGAGATGGGCTTGGATCATTTGATCGGTCTCGTTGAAATTTCCACCGTCGTGCTTCGACCACCGTGAAGATTGTGCTGAACAAAATTGATTTTTCTCCGTTTGAGTAACCGGGTCCTCTGGTGTGCTTCTTGTGCGGTGGTTGTACTTGGAGCGGCTGATTTTTCCGGTTGCTGGTAGGTGGGCACATCCCCGATCAGTTGATAATGCCACTCGGAATTGGGTGTCTGTTGATGAGGTGGAAAAATGGGATGAAGTAGAACATGGTACAGCTGATCGAGATTTGTTTCATGAGGGTAGAACGTTTTCTTCAATCGAACTGACTGAACCGACCTCATCGAAATGATCGACTGAGATGTAACTCAGGCGGCTGACAGATACCGTGTTGATGCAAACTATAGGAGGCTATCACCTCATCTTGTTCGAGTTTGAATAAATCAAGGCATTTAACCAAAGCTTAATCAAAATTTCATAGATTAACTAATGTTCACTTTACTATTATATATATATTATATTATATGATTATTATTATACTATATATACTGCATTTCAACCTTTCGGAAATAAATGATTAACGGAAAAGAGAGTATTTATCTATGTACCACAAACCCGATCGAATTCTCACGGTTTACTGGATTGACTTTATCTCCTAACATGTAGGACATTTTGGGCGTCACCAATGATAGCAGGCATCTGTTGTAGTAAATCAACACCCTTTAGCTGGGTTGGTCAGCTGCATGGTTTAAATTGCTAATACTGATATGCTTCTCGTTCTAAGATTCGATGCTCAAGTATAACCAGCACCACTCATTTCTGATGATGGATAGCTTTCCTATTGTCTGGTTTAACAGCCTAACACCTAACGGAGCACAGTTTGATATGATTCTCCATTTTCCAAACCCGTCTTCCAGGTTGGGGGTTTGACTGGAATTTGCCATTCAGTCGGTAAAAATGGTGGTCGATCCAAGCACTGTTTCAACCACTGCCTTGCGGTTAGGTTCTTGTCAGAACTAAAGGCTTCAGACGAGAACCCTAATCGTTCTCCTGTTTCGTGGCTGGACATCCTGGCCAATCCCAATTCTTACACAAATTAAAAATAATTCCATACTGCATCAGTCATCGCGCAGGACAATCAGGATCTCACTGCCCATTGCATCGAGTGGGGTTGGTAGTGATAAGTAGGATACTGCCCAGATATCCCAACCTTTATTTAATTCTTTGTCTTCAGCACCCAGCTCTCTCCATTTCCCCTTCCTCCGCAATGCAACAGCCCCTCAAGCAACTTGGATGTTGCCCGCCTGAGGTCGTTGCCAAATAGCACTGCAAATGAGGTGCAGATTCTGAAGCCTCGCCAATCACTGAATCTGGGTATCTTCAACGTGAGGACTCTGATGCAGGTAAGTNCACAATGAAATCCTTAAGGATCGATATTTGCTGCATATCGGAGACTCGAACTCAGGCTCCTACTACTGTAAGCCACTTGAGTGCTCCAGATTCGTATTCGAGATACGTTCTTCGCACATCAGGCGTCGATGAAGCTCGCGCAGTAGGCCAGCGTGGAGTAGGTATTGTACTCAGTAGAAGGACTGAGTCCTCTCTTATTGATTGGATTCCCACCAATAGTCGTCCATATGCAGTTCGTCTCTAGGGTTCGGTCAGCGTCCGGAGGGGAATCAACAATAAAAGGTGTTTGTTCCTCATACCAGCATATGCACCGACTAATTGCGGTTCTGATACTCAAAAGGACGCTTTCTACCATGAACTCATCGATCACATTCAGATGAGTCGAAGCTCCGAAAGTTGTACTGGCAGGTGACTTCAACGCGCAAGTTGGAAAACTGAGCATATCAGAAGTTTGTCTAGGTGGTAGTTGTGCTCTGCCCTGCCAACGAACAGTTCTGCACAGACCATCATCTGTTCTTATCCAGTATCAACTTCCGACACAGCTTTCGACGGAATGCTGCGTGGCGCTTCAGTTCCTCCGGTACGCAAATTCAAATCGACCATATATCAGTAAGCTGCCGTTGATGTGACTCAGTGCAAAATTGCAGGTCCTATTGGACCACCTTCGCTGAGTCTGATCACGCATTAGTTTTGATGCAATTCACTCTTCTGTTAACAGGTTGACGACAAAACCAGCAACCTCTGATAGCTCACCATCGACTATCTGTTCCAGCAGTTCGTGCACGCTATGAATCAGAATCAACCAGGGTTACGTGGCGTCAGCTGACGAAAAGCCTCAAGAAGGACAGTGAAAACTGGTGGGCAACAATAGCTAGTGAAATGGGAGTAGCAGCCGCATCAGGGAATAGTCAAAGACTTCCGACTGGTACGCAATACGGGAGGTCGGCGAACCCGTTAGTGAAACAGTCAACGATACGAGTGGACAGGCTATTAACAATAGGGATCAACGACTTGATCGCTGGGCGGAATACTTCAACGAACAGTTCAACTGGTCTGCCACTATACAGGTCACTTCATCTGTAACTGAAGCTCCTGGGCAGTGTCGTGCGATTCTCCAACAGAAGCAGAAATTCGGTCTTGCGTTCAAGCTCTGAAGCGAGAAAAGGCATTTGGGCCAGATGAGCTCCCTTCCACTCTTTTCAAGATGAGCGGTGATAAACTCGTAAGCTTCATTAATACCATACTGCACAATATTCGAGCGCAAGAGAGCATTCCTTCATCATGGAGTGAATCACTGATCCTTCCCATTTTCAAGAAAGGATCTCGCAACGATCGTGAGAACCACCGCGGAATCAGCTTGATCCCGATCGTCACCAAAGTGCTAGCCTCGGTCTCACTCTGGTATCTGACTCCTTTAGGAGAGATCAACATCCGTGAACAGCAAGGCGGATTCCGGACTGGCCGTGGATGTGTTGATCAAATTTTTACGTTGCGTCAGATCCTTGAGTTGCGTCACACCCACTAACCAACGATCGCAGTGTTCCTTGACCTGAAAGGGACGTTCGATTCGGTTGGTCGCTAAGCTCTGGTGGGTTCCTGTTTTCGAAAATGAATGCCCTAGAAGTACGCTAACTTACTGAGGTCACTGTACTCATACCTTTGGTTGAATAAGAGTTTACAATGAACTAAGTATGCCATTCGTCACCAACAGCGGCGTTCGTCAAGGCTGCCCTTTTTCAGATTAGTAGACTTCGCTGGCTAAAGCCCAGCCATCGTCTGCCGCAACGCGATTTATTCGCTGTAGCTACACCGCGCTGGAAGAAACCGCGTGGAGGTCAACAGATGACGTGGAGACGAGGCATGAAGAAATGCACAGAGCCATTAG